ACTGGGCCCTGATGGCAGACAAGGCACTTATACATAGCCCACCACAGGTGGGGGATCGTACACGCAACATTTGAAGTCCCTTGATATGCAACACTGAAATCATGTAGAAAGTGTATTTTCAAGCACTACTAACCACTTCTAAAATCGTCTTAGTTTTTTAGATCTTCCTTTCTTCACCCTCTGCTGTTTTTCTCTTAGCTTCTAGTGGAGCCAAAGGTAACAACAGAGGGACTGACTTGCTGGTTCTCTACCAACATAAACAATCGACTTGGGGAAACGCTGCCATCTGGTTTCTACTTGATGCAGAGCCAGCAGGGGGCGCTCACCCCCCAGATTATTCTGCCTTTAGCTCTTTACAGATTACAGTCAGCTACAGGTTATAAAACAGGCTACTCATTGCTTACAAATGGACAGACACTCTGGTTACAATCTCAGGATGTGGAATCAGCAGACCTGAATCTGAAGCCCGTTTCCAGAGTCAGCTGCCTGCCTAACACTGGGCAGGCCACATATAAAATAATTGCGCAGTGTTGGCTATCTCCACAGGTGGTACTACTGCTGGCCCTATTACCGGTACTATCAATGCTAAGGGTGGCAGGGTCATGCAGAAGGCTTCAGTGGTGGCAATGATGGCCTCTGTGGTAACCCGAAGAGTGAATTTGCAGAACAGTGGTAACTAAGGGAGGTCGCCCCGGACTCAGGCAAACTAGGTTTTCCCCTTGGCTTTGTTGCTCAAGCCTAAGTACTTCTGGGAAATATAGTACAGCCACAAGGTTCGAACCTGGTCCCAGACAGCTACCTGCAAGACAGCAATTTCTCCAAGCCTCTTCTGTAGAATTGAATAAAATTACCTACCTCATCAGGCTGTGATGAGGACAGAAGAGATCACTAATGAAAAATAGTTAGCACTGCCTCCAGTTTATTGATTTATTTATTGGCTTTTTGCCAGCACTATCTATTACCCCATGATTCCAATGAGCTTAAGCCACTACAGGAAGTAGGGAGAAATGTATGTGCATGCCTGTATGGAGACAAAGATCTACAGACTCCAAACACAGAGCCGAATCTGTTTAGAGGCCTTTGATTGTTTGTTACCTCGTGGGCTTCCGTATCAAAGAAATATGCTTCATGTTTGGTGTTCATTTTTTTAGTGTATCCATCTTAGTTTAAATATCCCAGATGAATTTTTTAAGTTACTTTAAATTTGTCTATAGTTGGAACGAAATATAGTAAAATCAAAGTCTCAGAAGGCACAAAAAAAGTCCGAGAGCCAAAGAAACGTTCCACAGGCTACAAGGGTTTCGGTGTGACCTTGGTCCTGAAGTGCCATTACACGTTCACGGTGACAGCACCTCCTGTTTGCAAAATAAAGTGCCAATTACATAACCTGAGGAGCTGGTGCTGAAGACATCCCCGAAATGCCGTAAACACTTTCTGTAATTCTCCTTCATTTTCAATTTGCCAACCACCTTTTCCCATCAAGGGTCCCCTGTTTTCTCCATCACGACCACCCTCTTTCCGGACTCTTGTATTTCCACTAAAATCAAATACACATACTGTTCACCTTCTGCCATGAATTCTTCTGTATACACTGAACTCATTTTTTAAAACCAATGCAAAATAGGGATGTGTAACACAGGAATATTAGAAGTGACATTTACAAGTGAGGCTGCTATTACAACTTAGTGAAATAATTTCAGGACAGTGGCACAGTTTTGGCTGGTATTATCTGATAGACACAACTTACACTCAGACTACAAGCCGGAGCCATCCACATATACATGACATTTTCTGAAATGATACTTTTGTAATCTAAAGAGCAAATGATTTCTACTGTGAAGAAGGAGCATTATTCCACATGGGCACTTAGCATCACCTCACACTCTGTGTGTGTGTGTGCACTGGTCTGGGTGGTTACTGTCTGTCTTCTCCACTAGGATGGAGGCCCCACGAGAGTAAGGACGTGGTTTCCTTGGCTTCTGCATCCCCGAAACCTGGAACAGGGGCTGGTGTGCAGTGTTTAGAAGGGACCTGTTGCCCTGGCCAGATACGCAGTTAGAGCCTCTTCCCCATACGCCACGTGGCAGGTCTGACCCCTGGTCAGGGCACATACAGGGATGAACCAATGAGTGCGTAAGTAAGGGGAACGACAGATCGATGCTTCTCTCCTTTCCTTTCCTCTCTCTAAAAATCAATCGATTTCTTTAAAAAGCATTTGTTGGTTTAATTCCCATTTCTCTCAGTCCCCATCTGTATCCCTTAAAATATAATTATTTTTTTTCAAGAGGCCCAATGGTGCTGACTCACACCAGGCCTTCCATTTATAATAGAACTGTTTAAGTCATGTGTTAAGAGTCCAAGCTATAGAGCCAAACCCTTTCATTCATCAGGGAGAGGCCAATCAAGCTGAACCATTCGGATCGCTATGTATATTCCCGCTTGTGCATGAAACATGAGCTCTAGACGCCACTCCAAGGACCTGGTGGACCCTGCCTTTAAAACTATCCACCAGCTTTCCCTTACTGCTTTCATCCCTCAGAGGCAACACCCCTGGGATGTTCTCCTTCATGCCTTCCCATTCCAAACAGTCCTCCACCCCTCAGTGTAAGGCTTACTCCTCAAGGAAGCTGTTCCATGTGAATCACTCCCAGCTCTCAATACTCTTCCCTCCCCGCAGTCACCGCACTTCACGATGACCTCCATTGCTGATTACTGCTTCATGCGAGCCTCTTACAAGACATTACCTCCACCAGGGAGGAGAGTGGGTGAGGCCAGGACTGGACCCTCCTTGGTCCGGGGCCATGTATTGAATGATTAGAGAATGGACTGAAAGAGTCTATCAGGGATTCACAGAGGGAAGCCTGACAAACACAAACCACAAGGGCTCTGTAGGTCCCTAACTGGAGGGGACAGTCACAGTGAGGGGTGGCCCGGGGCTTTTCAATTAAAAAAATCTTTTTGTTTATAGGAACTAGTATAAAGGACACATGGACAACAACTAAGGGGGGTGGAAATGGGAGGGAGGTGGGGAGCATGGGGAGTGGGCTGGGATGGGAGTAAAAGACGGAAAACTATACTTGAAAAATAATTAAATAAAAAAAATTTTGTTGTTTATTTTGATAAAACATTCTATAATCTTTTTACCCAGGGAAACATTACTACTATGTTGAAACTTCTGCTTCCCAGTGCCTTGGAGTTTTATTCCTGGGGGAAAAAAGTTCACAAGCACAGAGAGAGATTTGTTCGTGTAGTGAATATACAGACTGAATATGCAATTTGAGAGACCTTCATAATGGGGGTGGCTTACAGCAGTGTAAAAGAATATACTCGAATAGATTTTGGCTCCTCATCACGCTGCTTACTGGCTAAGCATCTTCAGTAAGTCACTCAGTGAGCCTGGGCCTCAGTTTCTTCACCTATAAAATGGGGAAATAGAACCTACCTCGTTGGTACTGTGAGGACAGAATAAAATGGCAAATGACCAAGTACTGTGCAGGCAACGAGGTGTTATACAAACAGGAATCAGGAAAAGCAGGAGTATCATCTGGCTGAAGCCACGCCTTCGGCCAAAAAATCCTCTACACCTCCCAGGAGGCAGCAGCCTGGAGCCGAGAAGGCGATCTTGTGTATTTCAACGCCACTGGATACAAATTCAAGCCATCAGCACCCCCGTTCCCATAAACCACTTGACCACGTGAGACAACTGATGGCACTGGCTTTCTCTTCCCTGTTTCAATAACCTCATTTTCCTATGCCTGCCTTGATAGGCCCATGACCGACTTTATAGCTCCTTTATTTCTCCCTAATTTTGGAGCAAGCTCTGTTTTTCTACCAGCTCTCAGTGTTCACAGCTCATAAACCAAAATGTTGGTGGGCTGCCCTTGGTTCCCCCAAGTGTCTACTCTGGTGATGGTTGGTGGAAACCCCTCTGCCCAGGTTGCCTCCCCCATCCTATCATCAGAGGCTTTGCACCAAGCTCAAGTGCAAATACTACCAGGAGAGGTGGTATTTGTTCGGTATCTGAGGTATTTACAACAGAAGGTGAAATCATTCATGACACTTTTCCTTGATAACAGAATAACAAGGCGGGGGACACATGGACGCATGGCACCTATGGCTTTTGGTGGCTCTGGAGAGTAGCGAGGTGGGTGAGACAGAATATGGAAAGGAGTTGGTGAAGACCCCAAAGACAAACTCACGATTTCTTCAATTTTTGCCTTGGACTCACCCACGCACAGATGCAGCACTTGTACTCAGAGCCAGGGAGTGAGAGTGGGAAAGGGGTCTTGGGCTTGCTGGGCAGGAAGGAAGGGAGGCGCTTCCTCGTATGGAAAACGAGGGACCAGGCTGGGGAGCAATGGGGCGATGGGCACTCGATGGGGTGAGGGACACAACCAGCAGAGTCCAGATGCCAACCTCACTGGTATTTATGATATTACAGTGCACTGCCTTCTACATCGAAGTATTAAACTATCACTTCTCCCTAAAGAGCTAACTCACTATCTTGAGAAAACACAGACTTGGAAAGGCAGTACCAAATAATGGCTAAGTGTTAGGCTTGAGTTTTAAAGATATAAGATTGAATCTCTAACCCATCAGATGTTAACTGTGTGACTTGAAAGAAATTTCTTAACCTCTGTTTCTTCATCACAGTGGGTTTTGGTGAAGATAAAATGTGATGGTGTATACACCAGTAAATAGCTTTGCCATGTACCAGTCATGTGGCAAAGTGCAATAAATGTTAATTTTACCAAATGCAAGAGGTTATTAAGCCCCTGCCCTGAAACCAGTATTCCCTGGAGTTCCAGGCCCAAAGCATCATAACTTCCAGCTCTAACTTCTACATATTTGTCAATGGAAATACCTTTTACTTAATTTAATTGAAAGGCTGCTTGGTTTTTCCTCCCCAGGTCCGTGTTCACTCAGGGGAAAGGACTGAGGGGATGAATGGGAATGAACAGCAAATTCTAGGTGCAAGGTACACCTCTGGGCACACTCACCGAGTCTGGGTCTCGCTGCTGTTCAAGGAAAGCGGAGAATTCCACCAGGCGAAGTTTGGTTGTGCCAATGGAGCGGCCCTGCCAGGCAGGGACCGAGGGAGCTGGGGCTGACGCAGGCTCAAACCCTGGAAGACCAATTGTCACCTTTACTGCTGGCCCATTGCCTCCCTTTGGCCTCGGGCCTGCACTGGAGCAGGAAAGGCCAGCAGCTGCTCCAGCTGTGTCTTGTGGTGGAGCTAGTAAGGGTGGGGCAAGATTCTGCCCAGGATCCCAGAGGCAGGGTCCTCGGTGCACGCGGCTCCTCGTAAAGCCAACATCAGCTCGGGTTATGGGCTGTGTGGTATGAGGTCATCCCGGACAAAGGGGCCTAGCTGGGGACCAAGACGAGACTGCCGGAAGAGTGGCAACTGCCGGACACTTTCTGGTGTCTCTCTACCTCCTTTCCCAAAGCTGCAGTCACCAGCACTACAGGACACTCTCAGAATGCTCCCTGGTGTGGAGCGGAGGGCATTTTCAGTGTGGGGCCGAGGGCTGAGCAGACACTTGTTTTCTAGCTTGGGCTTCCCTGTGAGCTCTCCTATAAAGAAAGGGTACTAGGAATTGAAACCTACTTATCTAAGAAAGGGTGGCTGAAATCCCATCTGCCCTCCGGACTTGTATTGCCCAATTCAGCCTGTTAATGATGAGGAAGGAACCACAGCAACTTCCCCTTCCGAGGATGACCCCGGGGGCTGAGTGAAAGTGACCCAGGCTTCCTGGTTCCTTAAAAATGCTTCTGAGGAACTCTGAGCTCTAAGGAGATGACTCACAGGAATCAGGACCTGGGAGGGGACACCTATGGGACCCTCCTAGGTGCCAGGCTAATACCTGCCTTAAGCAAGTTGAGGGTGAGGAGGGGGCATTCATGGGTCTGCAAGTAAGAGGGGCCATGCAGCTGTGGAACAGTGGGGGGGAGCCCCACGAGACTCACCTGGAATGGGGGCTGTGACCGCTGGCTGGATGGGGTACGCCTGCTGTACAAAAGGCTTGACGCTGGGAACAGAAAGATGGAGAGTCAGAAATGGCAGCCGTAGCAGTGGCTACGCCTCAGTTCTGGCCTTGGCCTCCTGTGGCTAGTGACCCAACCTGGGTCCTCCCTGCTTTGAGGATCCTGCCTGCAGGTTGGGGGCACAGCCCAGGCAGAACTCCATCAAGACTGAGAGGGTTACTCTCTCCAGTTGAGAGGGGCCAGCAGGCTGCTGGGGGCGAAACCACCAAGCTCACGCCAGCTCAGTGGGATGAGCCGGGCACCTGCCTCTGAAGTCTCATCCCTGCAGAGGCCGAGGTTAGAAGTCACCATTGCCAGGCAAGGTCTGGGACATGAGTCAGGCTCCCCTTCTCTAAGCCAAACAGCTCATGTTCTTGTGAGAATGTCTGAGCAGTATTTCCCTTCTGCTTTCATCCCAGACTGCCCTCATCTTCTGGTTTACTGAGCTGGCCCCCCGGGCCCTGAAAGCATCAGTGGGACTTTCTGTTAGCTGCCACACCACAGGGAAAGACAGAACGGAACGGGCTACAGAATCACTCCCACCAGCCTCGCTCTCGGGCAGGCACTTCTCAGGAAGACCCCGGGCTTTGCCCTTCAGAGCCATGAAGGGACAGGCATCCTAGTCCTGTTTCAAGCTTGAGGAGCACTAAATCTAAGGCAGAAGGGATGTTTACAAGTCTCTGGGATCTGAGCCCGCAAGATCCTGCCACTGGCTTCAGCGGATAACAACGGGGGAGGACTTTGGTGATCTCAGGTGAAATCTTTCTTCCCCTCCAAGCTCCAAGGCAGTCAGTCTGGTCCCAGGAAAACACCACCCAGGGCGGGCTGTAACCAGCCCCTTGTTGTCGGCGCCGGCCCCTCCTCAGACTTACTCTTGTGAGGATCCTGGCTGCCCGGTTTGTATCATTCCCGGCCAGAACTGGAAGGCAAAATGCAAGAGGCTTCAGGATTAAGAGTTCACTTCAAAGCACAATTCAGGATGTGTACGCATAGCAACCCCTGCTAAAGACAGCGGGTCCAGATTGCCCACCAGCTGCAGTGACTCTCTCTAAATGCAGATGTGGTCACTGCTGCGCACGAAATCACAACCTATGGCCTTGGCCTGGCAACCCAGGGCTCCCTCTAGCTCCTCTTCCAGATAACCTCCGAGGGCAGGGACCAGGCGGCAGCTTCCGTGTTCTCCCGACACGTGGCCAAGATGCTGGTGCGCTGCAGAGCATTCGTGCGTGTTTCATCCGACTGCCCTAGCCATGAACCCACCCACTCTTCTCTTCCCCGCTCCACTCTGAAAGGCACCATGTGTAACATTCTGCCTCCACCCCTCACAGCATGGAGGAGGGCCCAGTCAGGGGAGGACAAAGCCCAGAACAGGAGGCCAGTTCCAAATAGCAGACACCGCCTTTGCTGTGAGTTTTCCTGAGGCTACTGGTACCTGTTGACCCCGGACCCCCTGCTGGAGGAAGCACTATAAAGGAAGTCACAGCACCCTGGGTTTGAGCCCTGACATCACTATCCATGTCATTATGATCACGCCATCCACACTCTTGTGTTATTACTAAGTAACCTTGGCTTTCTCATCTATAAAACGGCAGTAGCAGTAAGGCATTTAAGATCATTATGAGGATTCAATGGGACAACAACATTTAGCTTCTCTGCCATTGCAGGGGCAAAATGAAAATGTTACTAGAACTCTTTGTTGCTTTAGGGGCTCACTGTCATAAAGTGACCTCAGGATACAGGGACAGAGACCAAGGGCTAGAAAAAAAAGATGCAGATCACAACCCAGAGGGGCACCAGAAAAGTGACACTGCACTCAATGTCTCTGGGGACTGAGACCCCCCCCCCCGCCCACTCTCCCCCCTCGCTCCCGCCCACCTCTTCCTTCCCACTTTTCCCTGCTGTGCACCCATGGTCCGCTCACCACAAGGGGGTTCTCTTACACCCGACCCCGTCGTGAGAAGTGCTGGGTGGACAGCCTCGTACGGCCCACGGTGGCCTCGTGCCCCGAAAGCCACCGTTCCTAGATGCAGCCTGTGACTCACCCCAGGCGCCCCTGGGAAGGTGGGGCGCGGGATCCCAGGCAGCCCCAGCTTGTTGTGAATGGCCGTGGCCGAGACGATCTGGGCGGACGACATGGCGGCCATGTGCTGAAGGGCCTTATCCTTTGCGGTCTGATCCTTGAAGGCGACAGTGACACACAGACTCAATACCCAGGCACGGCTACCAGGCAGCTTACAGAGCACAGACACGAGCACATGGACTAAAATACAGAGCCACAAAAGAGGCCAAAAAAGCAAACATGCACGGATAAATAAACACGGCCAGGAGGCTGAACACAAGGAACAACTGTGACTCTGCACATTCTCTGAGGATACCCAGTGGCGAGGTTTTAAAAAAAATTTTTTTTTTTGTTAATCCATTTTCCAAAAGAATGGGAAGCCTCTGAGAAAAATGGACAAAGTTACTTTTTTTTCCAGCTTCCAAAGGGAGCGTTCTCCAATTACTTGACGCCCTCGAGGGAAAAAAGGCCCTGCTTTAAGTATGTAGATGGGGTGGAGGCGTGACCGTGGACCTGGGGTGGGATTGTCCAGGGTGCGGGGGGACCCGGACAGTGTGCGCCATCAAGGGGCCCCAGTCCCAGGAGCTGCTGGAGTCACTCATGCGAGGCCTGGAAGCCCTGGCAGAGGCCTGGTGGGGGAGGCTCAGAAGCAGTGGGGTGGGCTGGGTGCGGCTGGGGGTGGTGGCGGGGCCAAGCAGCATGCTGGTGGGGTGCATGCTCTCTCAGGTGCCCCCGCCATGGGTCTAAGGCTCCTTGGGCTCCTTCTATAGCTGAGGACAGAGAGGATGCTACCAGGTAAGAAGTTTCTCCCTTCCCTAAATGGGTCTTTTCTAAAAAAGCCAAGGCTGATAACACAAAGCTAGCCAAAAAGTCTGCCAAGCACAGCTAAAATACAGAATACTCAATGTGGTGAGAATACTTACCATGCTTGTCACCTGGATACAACAATAAACAATTTGTTAAAAGGATTGCGTACAAAGGCAGGGTTATTTTTCTTCTTCAGTTAAAAAGTATATATGCATACAAACACACAATGGGTATCATAAAATAGGTAGGAGTGTGGGTTTTTTCACATTTTAGAAAGAATGTACAACCCATGTAACTATCTAGAAGGGCGATTATTGACAACGGCAACCACCCCAAACTACCCCCACCTCCTCCGAGCTGCTTCTGTGGCTTCCCCAGGACAGATGGGGGAACGGCCACGGCCCGGTGGGGGAACAGGCCCAGTGACGCAGGCGGAGTTTCATGCTTGGAAAACATGTTGAGGTTCCTGGCTGCTGGTAGAAAGCCCATAATCGACCCGGCCCCAGAATTCAGGAAAGCAGAAAGGAAAGGTGACATCGAAAATAGAGAGCGCCCTGCCCGGCTGCCGTTCCGAGTCAGAGAGTGAGGGAAGGCCAAGGGAGGCCTCAGGGAAGACACTGAGCGTCTGCAGAGAGGTGGCGTCTACACGTACAGATTTACCCAAAGGTGATGCGTAAACATGCAGAAGTGCCAAGGGCGAGGCCAAAAGGAGATGTTAAAAAACAAGTCAAAGCCTTCAAGACATTTACTAGGGGCATCTACAAAAGACCAAAGTGGTATAGACACCATTTTGCCCCAGTGACAGCCAGATTCCTGGCCATGTGAGTTTTCAAAAAGTTTCCATTATAACCCTCGAAAAAGATCCTGACACTTGCATACATTTTATAGTATTTTATATATTCCTTTGGTTCTTAACTGAAAAACTAATGAGACTCATGGAACAGCTCTTCAGGGATGTGGGCAGTCATTATGGGCCCCTGTGGGTACCATCAGGGCCTAGGCCTGCAGGATTGCTGGTCCCTAGCACAAGGACCATGGGTGACTGGAGTGAGGCTTCTGCCACCTCTGGTCAGATGTCATTCTTTGAGTTGAAGCTACATTCGTTCATCTGTTCAATGTGCTAACCTAAAGCTAGCTTCCTCTGGTAACTCTTTTAAAAAGCTCCAAAACATTTAGGAAACTGAATAAAGACAAATGTTGAAGTCTGGAATTTTATGATAAACTGACGAGAGCATGTGAGCGCGCCCCAAAGCAACACACACACAGCTCTCAGCACCGGTCAGTCTACTCTCAGCTGGTCCTGAGGCTCCGCCTGCTGCCTGCCCCATCACCTACGCAGGGGGAGCCCATGTACAACAAGCAGAAAAACGTGGCTCTGGTCACAATTAACCCCCTCCTCTGTCAACAGCACCTTCTCTGTCGATACAAACTTGCTGGTTTCTCTTAGGATGAGTCACTTTGGAGGCTAGCCCCAAGCCGCTTCACCTCGAATGAGAGGTAATAAATGCCCTCAGGTGGTTTCTGAGACTGAAGTAATGGCAGAGATAGGACCCCTGGAGCCTTTCCTAACAGGGGACACACCTTACCACTAGGGCAGCTGGGAAAATGGCAGCCCAGACTTCCTGCCTGCCTGGATGACTCAAATTCAGGAAGAGCCGTGGGCCTGGGCCTATTCCAGAAGCACATCCCGGGGCCTGTCTCGGACCCGAGAGTTCTGTGTTTGTGAAGTGCTGACGACAAGGGCGACGCTGCTTGCCCAGATACACAGGGCGTTCGTTTGGTGCACTTGGTGGAGGGACACGGGAACTGGACGCCCAGGTCCAAGTGGAAATGAGTTCCCTATATCTCCATAGCCCACTCTTATGCTATTCCAGTTGGCTTGAGGTGTTTCTTTTTGCTAGGATGATTAAAAAGTTCCTCCCAACATTCATGAAAGTTTGACACTTCTCTTTTTTAACAGGGAAATCAGTCAATGAGGAAGGGAGAAATGTCATCAGAGTTGCTGTTTATGTCACACAGCTTCAGAACATGGCCTTTTTCTTTTGTTAAACAAAGTTTGACTCTCTTATGCCCATCATTCCACGAGGTACTTGAATGAAAACAAAAGTTCGAAAGCAAGAGAGCGAATCAAAGGCTTCAGTCACACCAACTTGCTCTATGCCAGGAAAAGGCCCACTCGCCAGGAGTCTGGACACCTGGCTCTGTACCTGCCTCGGCCTGGCGTCGATGGGTTGTATTACCTTGGGCAAATCGTTTAGGACTCTCTAATTTTCTACAAAATCAAGATTTGCACTTTATTCTCTAAACTAAAGCTCTTCTGGTTCTAAAAGTATTTGTAGCTATGACTGTGAGTTCTGCCCCAAGCAAATACATCTTAATACATATAGCCAAAAACCTGCTAGTGAAAAGACAGCAGAATGTTAAAATTCGGGCAGCACTTGGCCGCCTATCCTAATAGAGAGAAAGCCAAGTGTGGAGAGGAAATTGTATCTCAAGTAGAGGTTCTTTCTGCACTTGACCTACCTACTTGAGAATAGGCAATTTTCTGCAAATGGACTAAAATATCTGTACCCGTGATTTCCTACCTTTTGTGGCAGAGACACTCTGACTACTCCTTTAATTTCATAACATCTCTCCTTTACATACGATATACATTTGAAAATTAAGGGGATTAAAGGTTTCTGTGTGTGTAAAGTGTAAAGTAACCCTGCAGATAATAGGCCCCGCCGGAGAGAGCTCGGAAACAGGACGGGCGGCCTGGCCGCAGACCCACTCGTCCTGAGATGGGAGGGAGGAAGGGCACCCCGCTGAGAGAGCCCAAAGGCAGCATCTCCAAACTGTCAGGTTCGGCCTAGAGATACATGCCTGGCTTTGAAGGAATTGTAACTCTAAGTGTCAGGCCTAAGTAAATTGCTTCTCCGTGCTCCTCTGTTCTAATATCCTGGACTATGAAGCATCCCACTCTACCCTCACCACTCATATCCCCAGACTACAGCGGGGAGAGGAGAGGGCATGTGGTTAATCTACCCAAACACTGGAGCTGAAGTAAATTCAAAAATAGACGCTATCTTTGTACACCATATTCATTTCATCCTAGAATGTTTTTACACCAACATTTCTGAGATGAGGCTGAGATTTTCAGATTTCAAAGGATGATCACATTGTTTTGTCTTGAAAAAACTTTAAATACTGAGTACTCATCTGTGATGTCTTAGGTTACAGGAGACACTGAGTGTGTGTGTACATCATGAGCGTGCATGAACCAGAAAAATGTTTCCTAGGAAAAAGCTTGGACAACTTCACATGACTCCTTATTACTGATTTTAAGACCCTCTATCCCTAAGGTTACAAAGAATGAGGCCAAGAAAGCTGAATGCAGGGGGAATGAGAAGAGGCAAACTCTCCTTTTCCAACTGAACCCTGACTCAAGCCCACGACTTGGAATGTAGAAACTGTTTGTTTATAAAGCAGGCAGCACAGGTCGACCACTGCTGATGGGCTGCTAAGAACGAATGGCCCACCTGACCAGAGAATGAGGGCAGACGAAGGGCTGTAACTTGGGGTGCGCGTCTCAGTATCAACTCAACCCTCCTCTCTGTCCAGTGTCTGGCACACCACGCTATCAGTGGTCTCACTACCTCGGCTGCACGGGGTCTAGCTGGATGTGTCAGCATAAACTCCTCAACCTGAAGCCTTTCAAACTGTTACTGTTACTAAGTAAACAGGCTTTCATATTTCATGAAGCACAGCAAGGCTGCTGCTGCAGCTCTGGGTTCGGCCGACTGCTCCTTGTAATGGCTGAAATGTGCCCAATGTTTGGGAAGTGTCTACATGTAATACACGCGGTGGGAAGGCAGCCGCATCACAATGCACACGGCTGGAGTGGTGTGCTCCTCAAACTCATGGGCATGTCACGAATCAGTGTCTGGATAGTCCGGGAGTCTTATTCCCCTTGCTCCTCTGCTTCTCCAGCTGTTGGTAATTCTGGAAAATCAACCATCTCCTAATTTGTAGGCCTTAACCATAAACAAATTGTAAAAATAATGTAAAAGGTCACACACTTGCATGTACCATATTGTAGCTGTCAAATATATTAAAATTTTAATGAATAGCTTATTAAACCAATATATTCCAAACAGTTTATTCAAGGACCCTTCATTTCAGAATTTAAAGATGCCAATCTAATTTACTCATATGGAAGTCTACTAATACATCAGGAAAAATAAAGTAAAAAAAAAAGGGGGCCATGGATTCAAGACTCATGATAGCTATTAAATGTTTCTCTCCAACTATACTTTTTCCAGCAATATAAAAATACAGTGCGAGAGGAAAGACAGCAATTTGCTTGCAAAATCACTTCTGCAGAAAAAGATAAAACAGAATACTTCCCTAAGAAGTAATTTTGCAGATGCTGTTTCTAATCTTGCACTATGTGGATTCACACGACCTCTGCAATTATTAGCAGTGGCCCCCGAGCGGCTAAACATCACAAAACTCTATGAGGGTTTTGGAGAAAGGATGAAGGGCACTTGAATTTTTCTAGCCATGATCTCCAATTTGCTTATTATTAGAGAAAGCAGGAGTAAATACAAAAGGGGGCTATTTCGGTCGGGCAACAGCTAATGCCGAGGAGAGAAGGCACATTCATACCTCTCCTGACTTGCCATGTAATGAGGAGCAATTAATTCATCTTATTGTATTTCCAAATGCCAAAGGCTCCATTCACATCAAAGGAAAATGTTTCAAGGCTTTTACTATTGTTCACTTTTAAATGTACTGAGCTATATTTAGCATTTTATAATTGTCAATAGTGTTTTCTTTCATTCTGATGTGGGGCTTAGCATCATTAAGGATTGTAGATGAGGATCCCAGTGATTTATAGGTGTGGACTCTCCACCAGGAAGCCTGGGGTTTACATCAGCTAATGCCACGTCTGAGGGCTGGGGAGAAGGCACCCTTCTGATCTCGGCCCCCTTTCCCTTCAGAGGTAACAAGAGGCAGGGAGTAAATCTTTCCTGAAAGGCCAGAGGAACCCAAGCAGGAGGTAGACTCAAGTTTAGCTCCAGACTCAGTGACAACTCCCACCATTCACCTTCTCTGTTTAATCCAGACACAATGAAAAAAGAGC